GGTTCTGTGAAAAGGCCACCCCCTTGGTAGCAGATTATTCATCTGTCTAGATTTCTCTGAGAGATATTTTAGTGTGACTTGGCCAGCCGGTGGGGAGGTAGAATCCTGAGACCTGTTTGGTTATCTAGGGGGCTAAACTTGAATAAACCTGAATAGATTAAAAGATTTAAATAAAAGACATAAAAGCCACTGCTCCTGGCAGTCATGATGCTCTGCCCCTGTGAAAGCAGATATGAGTCCTTCAAAAGCCCGCTCTCTCATCCCCAGATGAAGACAATGGCTGCCTGCAGAAGTTTTTGCAGTGATATGTTTAATAAGAAGAACATACTAGGTGCCATTACTCTCTAAGGATCTAAAAAGAGTGTGTATGCAGATTCTAATACTAATTTAGTTTAAAAACATAGAGAAGTAACAAAATTAGTGTATATTTCAAAGAGTAAATCTGTAAGTATCCTAGAAAAGTGTGTCAAACCTTCCAGGTTTAATAGTTCCACCCATGAACCATCCGCCTATGATGCAAATGCCTAGTCTAATTAATTAACAAAGCTGAACCCTTGGTGCACTATTGCTTAGGCAAGAATTGGTTAAATCTGACCTATATTGGCCCCCACTTGGATAACAATAAATTCCAAATGCACTGTTATGGAGTAGATTCTGACTCACAGCTACCGATCTCCATTTCTATCATGTTTCTGAGGTTGTAGATCTTAGGGAGAGCAGACTGTCCACTTTTCTCTCAAGGAGCGCTGGAGGGATTCCAACCTCCAAGGATGCAGTGGCTTTTCAGTGAGCAGTGCAATGCTCGAAGGACCATGCTTCCTAATGTATACTAACCGGAGCCCAACACTCCATGTTCATTACTACACTGAACTCTACACCAGTTCTATAAACACACACACACACAAAACCCAAAAAAAACCCCAACATCAAATCTATCACTCTTGAATCAATCCTGATTCACAACAGCCCTCCATCCGGTTTCTGAGGTCTCAATTCTTTGCAAGTATAGATTATCCACCTTTCTCTTGGAGTGGAGTATGGATCTGAACAACCAACCAACTTTCAGTTAGCTGCTCAGTACTTAACACACTGCACCACCAGGACTCCTCAGCCCTGTGAAATGGGTACTAACATTCCCATTTGATGATGAAGAATTGAAGGCTGACAGGTTAATCAGTGTCTCCAGGGTGACACGGACGGCAGTAAACAGCCAATAGCAGATTCAAACCTAATCGAGCCAATCCCAGAATCTGCCTGAACTGGTTAAAAATCTAAAAATTAAAAACAAACAAACTATAAAACTTGTCTGATGTCTGGGCATCAAGCATAAGAAGTTTTTCCTATCAGAAAGCTTCTGGTATCCAAACTTTGGAAAACATTTTTAGAAGATAATTTATGGTCTCAGAGGAAATAAAGTTCTGCATTATACAACACAGAACTCTGCCAAGGAGGATGGAGATTCCATATGCTTAGAATATCTCCAAAACTCCAAAGGCTTCATTCTTATCTTCAAAACCCAAGTCCTGCTTATTTTTAGAGAAAGCAAACAACGGAAAGATGATGAGGGAAAAGCTTAAGACTCAAGAAATAACCATTGTCTGTAAAATTTAATTACTCTTTGTGCTTAATCCTGATAATAACAGATCAAACTCCACGGTTACAGTTAAAATTTTATAACAGAAAAAACACGGATCTTCTTACACTACAACTAATGTACCATGCCAAATATTTACATTTGCACTTCATGAAGAAACGGAATGGTAATGTGGTTAAGAATTCAAAATCACCAGCCACTTTCCAGCAGGACGATGTAGCAATCTGCTTCCATAAAGATCACAACTATGTCCCACAACCCTGTACAACAGTCAGACTTACTCTGTCCTGTAAGATTGCTGAGCTGGAATCTACTTGACAACCTTCATTTGGGGGGCGCTAAGAGATACCCTTCACACCTTTGCCAGCATGCATCCTGTCCAAAGGGTAGACGTTCTACAGTCAGAATCATGCTGAGAGGCATTAGCTTTCTTTTACGTTTACAGACTAAATATTATGCTCACAATTGCTAAATGCGTCTTAGTGGAGGAAAGGACTCCCTGACATGTTCTAAAACCCAGGTTCCAAGTGAACCAAAGAAAGAAGGTAAGTGTAGAGTGCCTCTCCTTATGATTCACTTCCACGGACCCTCTCAAAGAAGAGCCCTGTGGGGAACAAATGTAAGCACTTGTATGCTAACTGATCATACCATGAAATGCCAAGAAAACAAATCAGTCTGTTGTCTTGGAGAAGGTGAAACCAAGTTTCCACTTGGAGGCTAGGATTTTGAAGCTCTGTCTCACATACTTTGGGCACATAGCCAGGAGGGACCAGTCCTTAGATCCCAGATGATATGGATTGATATAGTAACTAGGGAAATGGAGGTAGGTGTGTCAGAATCAGTGAGACCGGCCCATAACAGGGCAGACTTACGAGCTATTGTACATGTAGGGTCCCTATGAGTTGCAGACGACTTGATGGCTCATAACAACACCACCAATGCTAACTGAAAGATTGGAGATTCAGATTTACCCAGTAGCTCCTTAAGAGGAAGGCCTGGAAATGTGCTCCCATAAAGATGGCAGCTCAGAGAACCCTGTGTGGCAATTCTGCAAGTCACATAGGGTGACAGGCTCAATGGAGGAATAGGCTCAGTGAACCTAACAACAATGAACCTTTCAAGAAACACTCCTAACTTTCTATGGGAAGACTTAGGAATGGCTTTTACTTTTCACCACCCAATGCTACATCAGCAACTTTTCCCTCCCCCCTTCAGGAAGCAAGTGGCTATCTTTCCTTCTTCAATACAAACCAAGGCTTCAGAGAGATAACAGAGTTGAACTACAAAAGCTATACCATTCCCCTACTTATAAATATCACATGAAGTCTCCTTTTCAACAGCTGAGGAGTAAAAAGCTTCTCTGCTAAAAGAAGATTCCCCATTCAACCCTCGAGGTCAAATGGTGCTAAAGGGCAGAGGGCCCTGGGATCAAGAGCACAGCTATGCCAGACCACCTGCTTCTGGCACATCCCCTTCTTCCTCTATAGCAAAGTGAGCCCAGTGATAATCAAGGCAGCAGTAGAGCTGGGCAAGCAAGAACAGAGGCATACCCAGAGCCTCTACAGACAGTTCAGCAGCAGACACATCTACTCTGTTGCTAGCACCATAGATCTATGATCACTGAGAGGCCAACTTATACCAAGAGGCTGATATGCTATCTAGAAGGAAATCTAAATTTTGCAGCAGGTATCACAATAATTACCAAATGCAAGTTGTCTAATTTCCATCTTTTTTTTTCTTACTAATAAGTATCTACAACACAAAATGCTTGTTGAGGTACTCCAGTAAAAAAAAATCCAGACTAGAAAACTCCACAGGGCTGTTTTACTCTGTCACATGAGATGACTATGCACAAGTACCAGGTCATGACATCCAACAACAACAAGTCCACAGTTTCAGCCTCCATCTCTGCCCTAGGCACAAATTACAGAATCAGAAAACTGGACTCTGCTGTCTGCATGTCTAATCAGCAAGTCATGGTCTAAAGGGAGTTTTTTGGGCATCTCTCATCTTCTCTGTTGTCACACTTTGCTCTGAGTGCATAACATTGTTAGCCTAATCCACCAATCTTTCCTCCTTTCAACAAACATTATATGTACTTCTTAAGCTCAAGCATGTTTATAAAAAACACAAAGGTGAACGTTGCACAGCTTGAATCCTCCTAATATTCCAGGGGGGAAGAGAGACTTTAAGACTGGCATGCGCCTACTCTCTCTTTCTCTCTCTCTCTTTGTGTGTGTTTGTACCAATATACAATAGTCATATGTAACAAGAGGGGGAAAAGGGATGCAATTTCATGGAGGAAAGAGTGATCCCCTTGGCTTTGTGAATACAGAAATGGCTTATCATGGGTTTTGATATCTCACTGACTCCTGGCAGGTAAATATAGTTTTGGTGAAGAAGAGAAGGGGACAACAATACTTCTAAAGACATAAAGATCTCAAAGATTGTCCTCTGGTTCAAGAAGAGTAATATGGAATGCCAAAAATGTGGAAAGAAAAAGGATCTAAGGGAGAAATTACAGTTATGTTCATAACAGTTTCCTGTAGCAAGTCAAGGAACTTGGAATATCAGCATTAGTGATGGGCAAGCAGGAGAGTTTCAATGAGAAAATCCAAACTGGCTTCAACGTGTTTTATTTCACCTACTAAGTATTTTCCAAGCATTGAAATTAGTTAATTTAACAATTTGGAAATTTTCTATAAAAATCTAGATTCTTGGTTTAATAAGAAAAACGGAAGACCTGAGTACACTGGCCAATGTCCCTATATTGTTTCAACTATTTAGGACTGAGTAGCATGTGTAATAACAGACTCCTGATTAAAGAGAAACTATGGCCTTTAGCACCATTCTCAACTGACTGTTACAGGTATTTGCAATCACTGGTTTAAAGTGACAGAGAAACATAGAGCAAGAAAATTATACTGAAACCAATACTGGCAGTAAACAGTAAGGGCTAGAGGTCAAGTTAGGGGAACATCAGAAAAATGCAAGGGGTCTGAACTAAGAAAGGAGAACAAGGATGTAGAAAAAGATAATGAGTTCAGATATTTTAAAATACTCCATGCACATTAACACATATTAATTATGTAACTTTCGGGAGGCATTTGTTCATGGACCAAAGATTATAGGGAAACTAAAAATTTTAATTGCTCAACTAAAAAACAAAAGTTATTAACTGAATTGGATGGAAAATCCACCAAAATGTCAGAAATCAACACAGACCGGTAAGCAGCTGTGTGATCCTCACCTTGGATTCTGAGCCTGAAACAAATACAACCTCTGTAAAACTTTCTGAGCTGATTATGGGGAAGTGATATTTACAAGCACAAATAGACAATTATTTGGAAAAGTGTATGAACTCCACCAATTTCATTCAAAGGGGAGGTCCTGCCCCAGCACTTACACAAACCGTTGACATCCAGCATGTTGGAGATGCCCCGGTCACTCATGTCCACTTCCGGCTGGTTCTTCTCCCGGCTCTCTTCCACCAACTTTTTCAGAGACTTAGACATGATCTGTACCAAAAGACAACAACAAAGCACGTGGGCGACGGCCTGGTGGTGCAGGGACAGAAAGGAAATAACTCTTTGACTGCCACTCTCCCACATCATCCCTGGCCCTGGAAAACGGGCATCTCAGGGCAAAGCCCAAGCAAGGAGGGACAAGGGTGGGAAGGGGGCCAGCACCATTTGGTCCGGTAGCAGAGAAGCAAACCCAAATAGGAGCCACACTCACCAAAGAGAGCAGCACCTAACAGGCTGAAACAGTGTTGATCACAAGGTTTTGCAGGACACAATTCCACAGCAAGGGATGCACCCACTCAATGTAAAACTACCACCAAACCAGGAACACGCCCTTTCCCAGAGTTTGGCGCAAGCGCACACGGGGCAGCTCCCCTCCCACACCCCACCCGAGCCCGACCCATCCCAAATTAGGAGAACTGTGCGGGAGACGTGGCTTCAGGGCAAGGCTCCGCCCACAAAGGAATGTATACCCCGCGGCCGGCCAATCATGTCTTTTATTTGGCTTTGAGATTCCACCCCACAGCAAGATTAGCCCATCCCCTTACAGTCACTCAGGATTGAGATTCTGATTGGGCCAGATTTGACGCGTGCGCACTACTGTAGGCGCAGGCTCCGTGTGCCTACAGAAGTGGGTAGTGCTGTCGAAGAAATCAGGAAAGTTTGGCACTCATCAGGGCAGCCGAGTGAAATCTTGCTTGGTTTAAGGCACTACCCTGAGTCTTTTTCCCCCACTTCACGTTCAGTATGAAAAAATAGTGAATATACCATTCACTGCCAAAAGAACAGATCAGAATGCCCCTTAGAAGTCAAGGTAGTAAGACTTACACTTGTTTACTTGACAGATCATCAGGAAAGACTAGTTGCTAGGAAATATGTTATTGTTGTTGATTGCCTTGAGTCCAGCACGACTCATAGCGACCCTATGAACAAAAGACCTGAAGCCCCTCTACAATTAAGGATATTTACCAAAGTTCAGAGTTTCCGGAGGTATGTTGTTTAGGAAGTGGATGCCACTCCTGCTTTCTATATGTTCCATAAAATAAAAGTCGGCAAAAAAGAAACGATGTCTTCAAAGAGGTGCATTGACACAATACATGAACGGAATGAAGTACACAATAGTCATAAAGATAGCGCAAGATTGGGAACATTTTGTTCGGTTATATGCGCATAAAGTCCACAGCCTACTAGACAGGAATTAACAACAAAAGCAAAGACTCCATAGCAAGAATCCCCGCGCCCCCCACACACTTGTGCTTTTTGGAATCTTGAGGTGTTCTACAGCTGGGCTTTGCACTTGGCGCTTTTGATCTTAAGCCCCTTCACTTAGGCGTAAACGATGCAAGTTAAAAGTAAAACGCAACAGTCCAAAAGTGACAGCTGACTTTTTTTATATCTATGAAACGTGAACTTAATACTCCCAAAATCTCCCAACTTCTCCATAAAATCACATTTTAAAAAAATTCTGGCCTCGCTTCCAGTCGCTGCCTCCTTGTTACCTGACTCAGTTTAAATCAACCAGAAATATTCTGTGCTTCCGTGCTTTTCACCCCACCCAAAAAAAAATACAAACCAAACAAAAAAACACCTCTCTCTGGAAGGCAACTCATACCATGGAATAATGTCTGACATGTCTCTCACTCAGTTGGGCATATTTAACAAGGACCAAATCCTTAAAGAGATAGAACACAATAATGAAATTATAACTCTCTCAATTATTCAAAAAGAAAAAGAAGAATCTGAGCCCTTAAATTTGAAAACACACACACACACACACACACACACACACACACACACACACACAACTCCAGGTGAAGGATCATCTTTGCACTGATCTTTAATATCTGGAATAGTTAGTTCCTCAGTCTTGTATTTCATGAGCTAGACATTGTTAGGATATAGGCTGGCTATTTTGTTGAATGACCTTCAATGTGAATTTGTCAAAAGTTTTGTTGTTGTTGTTGTTATTATTAAATTCAAATGATGACTTTTTGGAAGAATATCAGTCAAGTGATACTTTTTTTCCCACTGCATCATATCAAAAGGCAGGTGACTTCTTCCCATTACTACCTGTGATTCCTAGTTGATGGCTGCCAGGCTTCTTCATTGTAAAGGCACTGATTTTCTCTTTACAAGTAATAAATAATACTTACAAATAATAAATAAATATTTATTATTATTCTTGGTGGGAAGATACTTGGGTTTTGCATAAATAACCGAGTGCTTATCAAGGTGCTTTACTTCCCCTCTCATCAAGATTGAGTTTTGGCATTCAATCATGATTTTCTAACTTCATAGTTTCATCTATATTCATTTATTATTTTAAAAATACACCCATTTTTAATCATCTCTTTTACAGGTAGAACATTGAGGATTTGAATTACTACTTCCGCCATATAACTTTTATAGTTGAATTTGTATTATTTTTACTAACTTTAATCAATATATTTGTAATTTCTATTTGTCTATTAGTTTGATAGTGAATGTAGGATAATGAAGTAAGATGAAGAAAAGGAATTCATGTCCACTTTATTCCTGTAGTCTCCCAAGTTCTTTCCAGTAAAACCATTGACTTTATAGTTTTATCACATTTTTTTTACATTCTGTAAACATATATGTTGTTGTTGTTGTTGTGTATCATTGTGTAAGAACTGATCCATAGCTGACTCTTCAGCGGGTTTTCAGAGGCAGTTAATCACACGACAGGAGATTGTTCTTCTTTCTCCTGTGAAGCAGATGATGGGTTCAAACCATGTGCCTTCAGGATTACAGTACAACTTCTTACCGCTAGACCACCAGTAGTTGTTGTTATTAAGTGCTATCCAGTTGAGTACAACTCATAGCAATCCTCTGAACAAAAGATCTGAACCCTATTCTGTCCTACACCATCCTCATACTTCCCGATACACAAAAGCCCATTGCAGCAGTCACAGTGTACATCCATCTAGTAAAGAATCTTCCTCTCCTTTACTCACCCTTCACCCTTCCCAGCATCATGTCTTTCTCCAGAGAATTGCCCCTTCTAGCAACATGTCCCAAAGGTGAAGCCTCATCATTCTTACCTCCAAAGAGCCATCTGGCTGCACCTTCTCCAAGATATATCTAGATATATTCTCTTGGCCATCCCTAGAGGCTCATGTGTGAAACATTTGGATTCTGGAGGATAGGTTTTATTGATTTTGTTGAAAGTCGAGTGTAAAGTTATTTTCTTGCCTCCAAAGAGCCATCTGGCTGCACCCTCTCCAAGATATATCTATTTGTTCTCTTGGATGTCCCTGGAGGCTCATGTGTGAAGCATTTGGATTCTGGAGGGTAGGTTTTCTTGATTTAGTTGAAAGTGGAGTGTAAAGGTTTTTGTTTGTTTCATTAACAATCGTGTGTAAGCTGATTGATCACCTGGATTTAGTCAACTGTCAGCTGCGGGCTGGCAGCCTCTTGTTTAAGTCAATCAGGACCTGGTGGGTGGGACTTTGTATTTAGAAGTCAGTTGGTTGGTTGTGTTTGGAAGAACATTGTTCTAAGTAATATAGCACTTGTCTGTCAGTTTGCTGTACTGAGATAACTTGGAGTTGATGTGATACTGAACATTATGTCACTGGTGTGTCAAATGCCATAACAGTTACCCATAGTGGACAGGGTTTGGTAGAGCTCCCAGATTAAGACAGGCTTAAAACTAGGTTGTCATCTACTTCCTAAACAATAAACAATAGGCATTTGGAAACTCTATGAACATTAGAGAAACAATGATAGTTATAGAGCAAGGTGCAGATCTTTTATTCATAGGGTGCCTATGAGTCATACTTGACTCAAGGGCACTTAATAACAACAGCAACAGCAATATGCCCAAAGTATATGAAGTGAAGCCTCATCATTCTTGCCTCCTAAGAACGCTCTGGCTGCACCCTCTCCAAAACATATCTGTTCATTTTCTTGGCCATTCATGTTCAGTGCTCTTCTCCACACAGCTCAAAGGTATCAATTCTTTTTCTTTCATCTTTATGCATTGTCCACCTCTCAGATGCATAGCAAGTAATGGAAAAGACCATAGCCTGAATCAAACACATTTAGTCTTCAAATTGACATCATTACTCCTCAGTAATTTGGAGAGGTCTCTAACTGCAAATTTTCCCAGTGCACTACGTCTCCTTATTTCCTAACTGGTGGTACCAATGATGTTAATTGTGGATCCAAGCAAGATGAAGCTCTTGACAGTTTCAGTCTCCTCTCCGTACATCATGATGCTGCCTACCAGAGTTCTCTATACACATATATAGGTTACTCATATCTTTTTAAAACATTAATTTCAAAGCTAGAAAATTAACAAAGAAATTAAATCAATTGAGTTTATGCTGATTATTTTAATATTGTTTATTGAAATATTTGCCAAGGTTTTAGAATATGAACTTTCTTATAAGTTCAATAAGGACTAGTGGTACAGTGATTAAGTACTGCAAGCCTGGTAATTTGGACTCCGGAAACACTTTATAGAAGAAAGATGTAGTAGCCAGTTTCCTCAAAGATTACAGTTTTAGAAACCTCATGGAGAAATTCTACTCTGTTTCATAAAGTCTATGAATCAGAATCAACTGGATTTTTGGGAGGCTTTATAAATCTAGTAGCATGATTGTTGTGTCACTCGAAGAAGAATATATCCAAATCAAATGAGTTACTTCTCTTTTTCATCCTATGCTGAAATTATTTTATAATTTGGTTTCCTTTGTCTTGGATCATTTCCTGTTACAGCTTTGATGATATTCTTACCAGAGCTTCTAATTGCTTTTATTTCCTTTTTCTTCTAGCTATGTTTATTTTTATCTGCAAGCTCTTTCAGTATTGCTCTCTCATTATGCCCTTTGCATGAAATCCTGTAAATACCATTTTTTCCCATTTAGAAACTAGCTTCTTTACCTTCTACTCTAATTTATACTGTTACTTTCCCTACTTTCAGATAACCAGTTATCTGTAGGGTTTTATTTTGTTTTCACTTCTCC